CTGCTGTGGGAGGAGAGATTCCCATTCTTAAAGGGGGAGCAGGGAGTGAGGGGGGATAATGCCCACAATTTTCTCATCTTCATGTCATGTGATGAAGGAAAAAAGAAACAAATTTTATCTTTATTCTATTCCCCTACCCCAGAAATCCATAAGAAATAATCTCAGAAAAATAAAAGTTAAGTTTTTATATTAGTTTAATCATTAATTTGGTCAATGATTACTTAAAAGTATATATCCATGTGAAAAATTCAAATACTAATATTTACCTTTCCAAATTCCTCCAACTTATTCACTAAAAACTTAGCCAAAATGATAAATAAAATAAAATATTTTTCTGGAAATATTTTAGAGGAACATTTAACTAGGGAAAACATTATATAATATGCTTGATTATAATGGACAGTGCTGCTTCTGGTCAACAGATGCTATCTGACAGGACAAATACTTGGCACAGAAATTACTAACACATTCAGAAACTAATCTTTCCTGAATCCAGCTGCAACTCTCAAAAGCTGGCTTGAAATACACAGTCCTTTGTGATAGAAAATTTAGACTGTTTTTAAAAAAGACTGGGTAGTTATCTCAGATGTATTGTTCATGACTGTGTCATACATTTCTTTCAAGAATTAAAATAATAGAAATTTGTAGTAATATTTGTATTTACTTTTAAATTTAAATTAATATTTAAATGTCAGTGTCTCATTAGAATGGGTGTTTCATTTTTCTAAACTTAAGTCTTCCTTTATATCTGTCTTCATCAAAGTGAAGTAATATGGTTATCTGATTCTGCTGCCAGTTTTTAGCTTTTACTATAGACTTCACATTCTGAGCCCCACACTCTATCCCACTTTGACTTTTTAAAATATATATTTTATTGATTTCAGAGAGGAAGGGAGAAGGAGAGAGAGAGAGAAACATCAATGATAAGAGAGAATCATTGATCTGCTGCCTCCTGCATGCCCCCCACTGGGGATGGAGCAACCCCCGCATGTGCCCTATTGGGAATCAAACCCTGACCTCCTGGTTCACAGGTCAATGCTCAACCACTGAGCCATGCTGGCCAGGCCCACTTTGATTTTTTTAACATGTTTTTGTGTGTGTGTGGGGGGGGTTTGTTGTTGTTGTTGCTTTTAATCTTCACCTGAGGATATTTTTTCATTGATTTTTAGAGAGTGGAAGGGAGAGGGAGAGGCAGAGAGATCGATTGGTTGCCTCCCTTAGGCACCCCGACCAGGGCTGGGAATTGAGCTGCAACCAAAGTATGTGCCCTTGACCTGAATCAAACCTGGACCTTTCAGTCTGTGGGCCAATGCTCTATCCACTGAGCCAAACCAGCTAGGGTCATGTATTTTTGTATTTTATTAAAATCAGTCAATGGTCTGATAATAAAAGTGCTTTCTATGGACTACTGTTGTTAAACTTGCATTACATTGCTTGTTAAATTTGAAAAAGGTTCATAAACTATAGGTTGCTTTTGGACTTGATAGCTGCTGCTTCAAGAGAACTCTCAGTCACTTGCACAGCATCAAATAAATATTGACTTTTAAAAGGGAAAAAATCCCTAAGTCTGCAGTCGCATTTAGTTGTTCTAAAAAAGTTTTCAGAAAAGGAAACAATTGGCCTAGACTCGGTTCAGCCAAACAAATTTGGGATCTGCTGGGCACAGCTAGTTCTTTCTTCGTCCCTGGTGAGGAATGTGAAATGCAGTAATACAAAGCAAGTCTGTATCAAATTCCAAGTTCAGTTTCATTTCCTAACTATTTTAAGTACATATCACTGCTTAAACTACCTCATTTTCATGGCTTAATACACAGCTATCTTATTTGCTCACAATTATGTGGCTCAGCAGTTTGGTCTGTGTTCGGCTGGGTGGTCCTTATCTGATCTTGCCTGGGCTCACTCAGACAATTGCAGTCCTCCGGCATCAAGGCGGGAGCTGGATGGTCTAGGATGGCCTCATTCATAGCTGGGGTTAGCGCTAGTTGTAGGTGGGGCCTCTCTCTCCATATGGTCTCATTCTCATGGAGGCTAGCCCAGGTTTCTTCACATGGTGGTCTCAGGGTTCCAAGAGTATGAGTGCTTCCACAGTCACTTTCACAGCATATTATCAAATCAGAGTACAAGGCAAACCAAATTCAAGGGGGTGGAAAAACAGTCTGCATTTCTCTTAAAAAAATAAAAAATATATATATGTATATATATGTGTCTATATGGGCATATATACATATATATTTCTTAATTGATCTCAGAGGGGAAGAAAGAAGAAGAGAGAGATAGAAACATCGATGATGAGAGAGAATCATTGATTGGCTGCCTCCTGCACACTCTACACTGGGGATCAAGCCTGCAATCAGAAATGTGCCCTGGCCCAGACTCAAACCGTGTCCTCCTGGTTCATAGGTCAACACTCAACCACTGAGCCACGCTGGCTGGGCCAGTCTGCATCTTTTGATGGGAAGATATATAAAGTCACACTTCACAAGGTTGTGTATACAAGGGGAAAATCTGTGGCTATTTTTTATCCAAATTCACTACACTAACAATGGCTCAAAATTCAGAAACAATACAGCAATTTGATTACCTAGAATTTAAAAATCTCTTGTACTAAAAAAAATACCATAATTAAGAAGGTGAATGACACATTGGAAAAATATTTATAATTGATATCATAGACAAAAGCTTACCATCTTTAGTACATAAATAGTTTCTAAAAAAAATAGAATAGGAAAGTACTGACAACACCAAAAAATTCACTGGAGAAATGAACAGATAATTTGCAGAAAAATATAAATGTACATGGATCTTAACCAAAGGGAAAAATGTTCAACCTCGTTCTTAATAAAGGAAATGCAAATTAAAACTACACTAAGATATAATTTCTCACCTATCACATGAGCAAAAATCTAAATGCTTGACAATACACTCTGACAGAAAGCAGGCACTGCATACATTGCTATTTCTCAACAGAAACTATGCAGGCCAGAAGGGAGTGTCAAGAAATATTCAAAGTGATGAATAGCAAGAACCTACAACCAAGATTACTCTACCCAGCAAAGCTATCATTTAGAATTGAAGGTCAGATAAAGAGCTTCACAGTCCGTAGTTCTTACTGCCCGTAGGGACTTTTTCCCCCAGCTCTGGAACCCTGGGCTGGGGGTCTGGTATGGGGCTGGGACCGCTCACTCCTCCAGGCAGCCTCTGAAGAGGCAGTCTCCCTCTTGATTAAAAAAGTGGCACACCGGGTGCCCGACCAGCCCATTCCGCGCCTCCTCACCTCCTACCAGTCTTAATGTGCTTTCTTCTTTACCTCTCTGGTTGTAGTACTTCCACTCAGCCAGATTTCCTGCAGTTCTGGATGATACTTGTTCTGTATTTTAGTTGTAATTTTGATGTGGTTGTGGGAGGCAGCAAATACAGGCGGTTACCTATGCCCCCATCTTGGTTCTCAAGACCAAACATTCTTGATAGCAGAACAGAATAATAGAAACAGCTTGGTTCTTGAAGAGTGAACCACAGAATAAGCCAACCCTGGGGCTGCCCGACCTCTGGATGGCTAGTTACATAGTCATAACTATCTTCCTGTTGTTTGGTCCATTTTGAGTTGGCTTCTGTTATTTGCAAGAGATTGACTGAAGGGGTGCTCTCAGGAGAATAAGAGGAGGACAACCAGATAGGACTGGAGAAAAGCTAAGCAAGGATCTAATGTTGGCTGGAAACCAGTTTCAGCCTGAGCCCCAGGAGGGCTCTGGAGCATGAGTTGGCCTCACCTGTTGTACCACTCTGGCAGTAGTCCTTGTGAGCTGCCTCTGAGGAGAGGTGTGTGTAACAGCGGCTGAGAGTAAATGTACTGGCCCAGTTAAGGGGATCTAGGCAGAGCATCCACAACCACCACAACTAGCCAACCTCCTCCAAGTATAGCCCAAATCTTACCAAACCCTGTGTGATCTAGCCCATCCCTGCAGAATCAGTCTCTTTCTCTCTGAAATCATCTCCAACTATTGTCCCTCTTTTTCACTCCACTTTAGCCACACTGGGCACCTTGCAATTCTCTTTGCTTCAAATCCTTTGCACTTCTCATCTGGAATGATTCTCCCCTGCCCACCACTCACGTCCTCATGACTTGGTCCCTTATATATCCTTCAGGTTTTACTCACAAGACAGCTTCTTAGTAAGGCTGTCTCTGGCTGCCATATCTAAAATGATGACAACTTCCACCCCTAACCAACACATATAACCCCTTCACTTGCATTACTTTTCTTTTTAAACACTTATCAGTATTTAATATACTATGTAGTTTTCTTACTTATTTTGTTTATTGTTTGATCATACTCTAGAACAGCGGTTCTCAACCTGTGGGTCGCGACCCCTTTGGGGGTCGAACGACTCTTTCACAGGGGTCACCTAAGACCATCGGAAAACACATATATAATTACATATTGTTTTTGTGATTAATCACTATGCTTTAATTATGTTCAATTTGTAACAATGAAAATACATCCTGCATATCAGATATTTACATTACGATTCATAACAGTAGCAAAATTACAGTTATGATGTAGCAACGAAAATAATTTTATGGTTGGGGGTCACCACAACATGAGGAACTGTATTAAAGGGTCGCAGCATTAGGAAGGTTGAGAACCACTGCTCTAGAATATAAATTGGGAAGGGTTGGGCTTTTCATCTTTTAAAAAAATTCTCACCACGTAAAACTGGCAGGTTCCAGATGGTCAGTTAATATTTGTTGAGTGAATGAATGATTCCTGGCATAAAGTGTAAGTCCTTAATATACATTGATTAAACTGAATTAAATTGAAATGGAAAATATGAGCACAGACCCATTGTAATATAGATGGGAGAAAGGACACATATGTTGCTATATGCAGAGTCCTCCTTAAATTACATGATTTCTTGGATAATATTGCAATGTTCATGTGATGTTATGTGTTAATATATATTATATTATTTATACATATATTGGTGAATAAAAATAGAAGCACTAAATATTTTAAAATTTTATTTAAATGAGTTCAAATCAAAACTTGAGAATCTACATTTACACACATTACAGTAAGGTAAGGGCACAGCAAAGTTAAAGTGAACGCAGGTTGTATAGATAGCTCAATTCCTATGACATAAAACTTAAATCCAAAGATGAAAATCTTGAAGCTCTCTACTGCAGTGTCATAGTCTGACCTCAGAGACTAGAAAACTTCAGTCACGTGTAATCTCAAATGTCTCAACCCTGAAACCTATCAGCGGATACCAAACACCTTCAAGGCACATTAAAGTTTTCTAGAAAAGGCGCCTTTAAAAAAAACTAAAACTAAGATGACTAAAACTACAAAAGCACCTATCAGACTTGCGATGGCGTTTATGCCGAGTGTGAATCTGCAAGGTTAGCCTTGAGTCGCGGCCTCAGCACCAACTCTGGCTTCTTCCTGTAAACCATCCCCAGCAGAGGGTTCTGACTCAACCGGAGAATTCTCTTCTTCCAGTTCAGCATATTCATCAGAGCTTTCGTTCTCGGTTGTACCTTTATCGTTACTGATGGCAACGGCTTCATCCGGAGCTGCACTGGTGACCTCCGAGGTGGCTCCGGTGCTGACTTGGGCGCTTTCGCAGGGGGTGACATTTGGAACCTCTGGCTCCGTTTCAGCACCGACCGCGGTGATCTCCACCTGAGCAGCCTCCGCAGCGTCGGGACAGGCTGAAGCCTCCTCTGCTCTGCCTGCAGCTGCAGCGTCGGAGCTTTCTTCCGCATCCGCCACCTGAGCTTCCTCCGAAGATACTTCAGGGGCCTCTGAACTTGCTTTCTCCGCTCCCTCCAGGTTCTCTTTTTCACCTGTAAGATTTAGCCCATTAAGCAAAGTATTAATCGAAAGAGCATGGAAGACAGAAGAACACTGTGCGGTCACTTTAAAAAATGAGACATCTATATGTACTGATATGTAATGCAACGTAGACTGTGAAGTGGGAAAAGAGCAATGTATACAGTTTGGTACTGTTTGTATTAGGACAGAAGGAGGGTAAGTTATATGCATAGATAGTTATATTTGCAAAGACTCTCCTCAGGATTCAGAGAAACTGATATTATTGGTTGCCCCTGGGAAGAGAAAATGGGGGATCTGCTTTTCTATAAATGTTTTGAACATGTTGAACTTAAAAATATTAGTTTATATGTATTATTTATTCAAATACAAAGAACAGGAAAATAAACAGCCAACCCATCACGAGACAGCATGGAAATGTAGCCAACTTACTAGGCATTGACTCTGAGGAATCACTAATTTATTCTCAACCTCGGTGTTGTCATCTGTAAAATGTCATCTATCTCACAGAACTTTTGTGAGGACTGATTAAAATGTTGTGTATAAAAAGGGGTTTAAAACCACTAAAATGCTATGGAAATGCATTTTATTATTATTACAATCTGCCTTCTTATGATTATATTAAGTAACGTTCACTAATACATTGTTTCTTATTGTCATGACTAAAGGTTAAAACTGGTCCATGAACAGCTATTATCTATCACCAAATAGTGATCATAGTAATTGATAATAATAGTATTATAGTTGAAAATGGAAGAAAGTATGGTTCAAGAAAGCAGTTTAAGGCAAGAAACATTTACTTGGGTGAAAATGTAATGTTGCTGTTCCTGTAGTTGCCATTTTATTGATCAGATCAACTGAGGGACTCAACAGATATGACTGATTATACTAATGTCAAGTGTACTTTGGGCAAAGATACTAGATGGTCTCAATCAAAACTGAAACAAAAATTAGTTTTATGATTTAAAAAAAAAAGAATGAGGGAAATGAAAGGTCAAGCTGCTGAGAGGCAGATACTAAAATTATGCTGCATGAATGGGAACTTGAGTAGGAGAAAAGTAATATTACCACACAAAGAAGTCAAAACTGCTGGTCAGCAGTATAAATGCAAAACGTTTTCATTTATTAAATGCCCTCGTCCAAAACGTATAACAATATTCTCTAGGTTTTGGGTGGCTTTTCCTTTTTGAATGAACTCCTACCCAGAGTCATTCTGGATTAAGTCAGTAAAGAAGCCAAAAGAAAATAGTGTTCATTGCTAGGCTAAGGTGATGAAAATCAGAGTTTTAAGGAAAACAATACTAATAAATTCACTTTACCTTGAAGTGGCTGTAACTCTGCTCTGTTTTTTTCTTTCAAATTTTTTATATGTCCAGTGTGTTTGACTTGCTCTGATGTGACTGTCCTGTAAGTCTGAAAGCAAATGTGTACTTATTATTCACAAGCATTTTTTTCAACATGATTTATATTCATCATGCCAAATTCAAAGGTGTATGCAATTCAAAGAAGAGAAGACAATGTATATCATCTACTCTTTTTATTGTTGTTGTTAATCCTCACTGGAGGATATTTTTTGTATTGATTTTTAGAGAGAGTGGAAGGAAGGGAGGGAGGGAGAGGGAAAGAGAGAAAGAGAGAGAGAGAGAACTACATTGGCCAGGGCCCTATCATTTACTCTTGAATTTCCTATTTGGAAACCTTTGTCATTAAGTAGGAAAGAAGGAAAGAAACAATGCTGTAACCGGGGTCAAGGATAACTGAAAACCGAGTAGATAGAAAGACAAAGACAAATTAGGACCAATATGCTGAGTCAGCACCCTCAGTTCTCAGCACACCAATGCTGCCTGAACCTGTGTAGAAGTTCACATACCTGAACTGACCAGCAGCAACATCCTAAGGGACATTAGTCTTATTGTTCAAGGGGCTAGAACACGAGGTAAGAAAAAAAACTACTTAAAGCAGAATGGAGTAATTCACACTCATGTGTGGCCCAGAGAACCTCTCTTTTCCAAAATAACATCGTCAAACAGAAGAGTGTTTCCATCAGGCCTCAAATTTATAATTTATTAAACAAATGATATTATTTATTAAACATAAGCATTTAAAATATACCACAACTTGCCCTAGCTGGTTTGGCTCAGTAGAGAGAGTGTGGGCCTGCAGACTGAAAGGTCCTGGGTTTGGTTCTGGTCAAGGTCAGATGCCCGGGTTGCAGGCTCAATCCCAATAAGGGACATGCAGGAGGCATCCAATCAATGATTCTCTCGCATCACTGATGTGTCTCTCTTCCTCTCCCTTCCTCTCTCTCTAAAAATCAATAAAAATATTTTTAAAAATATATACCCAAACTTTAATAAATCAGTATGGCATTATGTTTTTTAATATACCCAGACCTTCAAATAATTGAAATGACCTAGGCCTTTCTCAGATTCTAAGAGGCCCTCATGATAGATTTTACTTGGAAATGAAAAACTGCTCTTGGCTACCATGGATTCAATTCAGATAAATCTAATATAGAACTTATTTTAGTACAGGACAAGGAAGGGGAGGAGAAGACTAGAATTCAGGTTTTTAAATACCTCACATTCTGTATCTCCTCCTGAAAGTAGCCTAACATTCTTGGAAATTAACACTTCCAAGATTTAGGATTAAAACTATATATAATATTAGAGGTGGAAGGGGACTTAGAAATCATTACCTGTCCAACTTCATTCCCATTGTGAGACAATAAGGCCAGAAAGGGCTCTCAGGGGTCGTCAGTTTATAACTTCCAGTTTAAGATAGTTTTTGTAAAGAAAGATTTAGTAGACAGGAGAGGTTCATGTCTAGCACGAGTAAACCTAATTAGGGATATAGTGATGCCCAGGTGAAATTAAGTCTTCTGGCTCCCACAAAATCATATGGCCTAGTCCAATATCTATTTTTCCAGTTGTATCCAACTGTAGTAGCCCTGGGCAGTAGATTCAGCATTATGCAATAGAATGATAGTAGAAGCGAAGGAATCTGGGTATGAGTGAAAGGTGGTAGGTTAGTAGAGGACAATAATATAAATGACATGTTTGAAGTTTCCTGGCTTCTTGAGGCTCTCAAAATACTGAAGATTAGAAGATGTATTTAGATTTGGCTATCTACATAGTTCTACAAACTGCTCCTAGTTATGACTAAAAATCCGTCTATTCTAATAAAAGGGTAATATGCTAATTAGACCAGGAGACCTTCCGGACATCCTTCCGGACAAAGCCATGGTGGCGGGGCCAAGAGGGCCAGAGGGAAGCCAGCCCAGGTCCTGGATGCCTGTGGGCAGCCCTAGGGAAGCCAGCCTGAGTCCCAGGTGCCAGAGGGAAGTCGGTGCCAGCAGCCAGGGGAAGGAAGGCTTATTCTTGCACAAATTTTTGTGCATAGGGCCTCTAGTCTATACTAATAAAAGTGTAAAGCCACAGTGGCTGGGGTTGAGGCAGATGTGGTTAGGGGTGATCATGAAGGAAGGGAGCAGTTAGGGGTGATCAGATTGGCAGGGGAGGGCAGTTAGGGGTGATCAGACTGGCAGGCAGAGTGGTTAGGGGCAATCAGGCAGGCAGGCAGGTGAGCAGTTAGGAGCCAGCGGTCCCGGATTGTGAGAGGGATGTCTGACTGCCAGTTTAGGCCCAATTCCTGTGGGATCGGGCCTATACCGGCAGTCGGACATCCCCTGAGGGGTCCCAGATTGTAGAGGGTGCAGGCCAGGCTGAGAGACACCCTACCCCCAGTGCATGAATTTCATGCTCTGGGCCACTAGTTTATGCATATTTCTGTAGTGTTGAGCCAAAATGCAGTGACTGTGTATTCCTATGGTTTCCAAAGGATTTATACTTATTCTACTTTTATTCATAATGAAGAGTAGATTTCAATTTAGAAAGTTTATGACAGAATGGGGAAAGATGAAATAGGCTCATCTTATTTGATTCACAAATGTTCCATTGTTTTAGCTCCAAGATCATATTATTAAAAGCTTTGTTTTACTGTGATTATATAGGGGGGACTGGATATGGGGACCAGGGAGGAAAGCATTATTTTAATTTTATATATGTCTATTTTGAATTTTTAAAATTTACGGATAAATATTACTTTTTAAAAATAATAAGAGTATATATAAAGATATAAAGCTAATAAAAACTATGGAGATAGTTAAAAGATTGGGGGAGGGAGAAATGAATAAATAGAGCACAAGGGATTTTTAGGGTAGTGAAAATACTCTGTATAATACTGTAATGGTGGATGCATATCATTATACATTTGTCAAAACCCCTATAATGAACAAAGAGTGAAGTCTAATGTAAACTATGGACTTTAGTTAGTAGTAATGTATCAATATTGATTCATCAGTTGTAACAAACATGCCACACTAAAGCACGATTATTGACAGGGAAAAGCTGAAACCGGGGTGAGAGGAAATACATGGGAACTGTCTGAATTTTCTGTTAATTTTTTTGTAAACCCACAACTGCTCTAAGAAATAAAGTCTATTAACTTTTAAAAAAAGTTAATCTTCCAAAACAATTCCTGTTAAATGTTAGTAATAGTATCTACCTTATAGAATTGTTGTAATTATTAAATGAGCCCTAGACTGTCACATGACATTCAAATGTCAGCTATTACTATTAATATTTATAATAACACTAGAGGCCCGATGCACGAAATCCATGCAAGGAGTTTGGCCCTCGCAGCTGCAGCGGCTTGCCTCGGCCCTCGCAGCCCCAGCTTAGTCCGGAGGGTCATTCGACTGTCCGGTCTAATTAGCATATTACACTTTTATTATTATAGATTGTTTTTACTGAAAGTCATCCATTCTTAAAGGTATTAAGAAATATTGAGTTTATACTTTAAAAAGCTTCATAATCTTGTTATTTAATCTCATGTCCTGACCTTAACATTGCTTTGAGTTTTACCACAGGTTGTAAAATATCAGAATTCCTGCACACTGTGGTTAAACACTTACATAGTATCCACCAGCACTGACCGTGACACCTACAACCAGATAGTAGATCATATTTGATCCAGATGATCCAGGGAACTTGTTAGATGACATCCAGCGAAGAGATGCTAGGAAAACAAGTTTAAACACGGTTAGCTCCACTGCTTAAGCAAAAGTACTTTAAATAAGTATTTCTTTGAAAATATTTCTGCTCAGTGAACCTAGAATCTATTAACATCAAGTGACTTTAGCTTAAGGGAATATGACATTATGAGATAACGGTAATAATTCCACTTGACATTTTCCCAATATAATTTGACAAGTACTTATGAAACCTGTCATTGTGATGCTAAGCACCAGGCTTTCCTTGGAAGGAGTGCAGGCATGGGTAAGGAGAAATGACAAAAGCACTAAACAATTTCAACTGTCAAACAAGATGCATACAAGCAAAAGAAATCCATTGCTGTATGTACTCCATCTTTTAGTCGAAAAGATGACTTTTCCAAAAAAAAAAATTAAATATATTTGTAGTTGAAATTTATGTTAAATAAAACATTTCTGTTGAAATCTAACACACTTCTATAAATCTGTAATACAAATGCATATATATCTATTTCTAATATAAAGCCTTTAAAGATGAGCAGTGAGAAGCTTTTCTAAGACAAATGTTGCAACAAGATCATATCTGAAACAGAAGTACAATTCTGTACAAACTAATAGAAAAGATGAAAGTGCTGTGTTCTTTATTTAAATATGTTTACTCTGCAGTGCTAGAGCTTATATATACACCATATTCCCTGGAATTGAATTTTTATAATAGACTCAAACCTAGAAGTAGTTTAAAGTTCACATAGCTCAAATTCTTTATTTTACAGATAAAAATGAGGAAACATTTATTTATCCATTGACAAACACAGTTGAGCACGTGTTACCTGTTTGTCATTCTTAGAAGCATTAGTATATAACTGTAAACAAGACACACGAGGTTACTGGCCTCAAGTAGCTCACAGTTTAGAAAGAAGGAACAGATGTCAGACAAATAACTATAGACAATCATTTCAATGCAGTATGACAAAGGCTGTCATAGATAGTGGAAGCTTCAACAACAGCATGAAAACACAGTGAGGAAACTCAGCTAGTTGCCTCAAAGCAGCTGTCACTATTCAAAGACATGATCTGAGTTTTAAAGGAAAGTAGGAGTTTGTCAGATAAATAAATGAAAGGAAAATTGCACTAGGGGCAGAGATACAACATGAGGCATGAGTTGAGTGACTTGGAAAGAATAAAGGCATTTGATTTGGTGGGGGACTAGTAGAAGTCATGTTTTGCAGAGGGCACATCTTAAAAAAAAATTGCACTGATTCCGAATCTTTGTAGTAGTCAAATTGGAAAAAAATCCACATATATGTTCTTAATTTGAATATAAATAATTATCTCTTAGAAAAAAATATTTTCCCTACAAATGTGCCCCAATAGCCCGTGGTAGAAGGCTATGGCATTGACTTGTAGTGGGGCTTTTGTTGGTTTAAAAAGACATTTGCTATTACATAGGGAATATGTCAGTTTCATAGTTGTCAACCAGACATAAGTATCAAAAAGTTTTTTTAAATACGAAGAAATAAATAAAATTATAAGAGATTTAAGTAAAGACAAATACAATTATGGCAAAGTTATTAAAAAGAACAATGGAATGGGAAATAAATATTCAATAAGGATTAATTAGATAAATTTTAGCATATTCATACAATGGGAAACAAATAGCCATTAGAACTTTTCCAGAAGAATATTTACTTACTTTAGAAAATATTTACAATATGTTAAGTGAAAGGTTATACAGGAATATCCCAGATTTGTGGAAGCAATATGCATAAGGAAAAAATATGCATGAGGTAAAAAAAAGGTCTGAAACATTAAATAAACTAAAATGTAAATAATGGTATTCACTGAGTAGTAGGATTACAGGTGACTACTATTTTGCCTTTCTGTGTGTTTTTAAAATACTGTATTATAAACCTAAATTATTTATTTATTAAAAAGATGCATTTTAAAAGAAAAACTAGAGAACAAAATTTGATGAGGCAGTTACAATTTTATCCTTCAATAAAACTGAAACAATTTTTTCTTTCGTCAAAGTGGAATTAATAAAAGGTTAATTGATGTCCATGACTGAAGCTAAATATCTAGTCAATAATAATTCTTCAAATTCACGAAAAAATCAGCGCTACAAAAAAGTAATTAGGTGAAAGTTAGAGAAAGACCAATACTGCTACAACCAGTATTGCTAACTACCTATTTAAAAATTTTAAACCACTTTTCTTTTGCCCCCAATTGGAAAGAAAATTATTTGAAATGTATGAAGCTAAAAAAAAAAAAATGCGTAATGACCATGGGGGAAGCAGACGGATAACCAGAGTGCAAAAGGCCAGGTCAACGGTCATCTTTCTCCCTCCCCCTCTGCCCCCCATCACACAGCCTTTTAACTTCAGAAGTTTAAGATGAATGGCTTCTCCCATTTCATCATTGAAAAAAAAAATTGCTTTATTTCACTCGGTTTTAAAGATCAGAGAAAACGAAGACGCCTTATTTCCCTTGCTTGTAAGGCAACTTCTTCCCACCAACATTTTAAGAGAAAAAGAAAGCTAGCTGGACAGACCTTCCTTCCCTCCCACCATTATCACCAGCACAGGCCTAATCGAAGTGAAAAAATATTGGCCCATGGAATTTTCGCAAGTCTTTATCACACTCCGTCTCAAATGCACAAACTGGGATAAAGCTACCTGGCAAGCCTTAGGGAGTGAGGCGACGTGAAGAAAGAACTGAGAAAACTGAGAACTTTCGACGAAGTGGTCTAGGAGCAGCCTCCCCCCCCCCCCCCCCCCCCATCCCCACCATCAGGACAGGGAAAAGGGAGGGGAAACAGATGAGGAGTCAGAAAGAGCTGGCTGGGGCAGAACCGCACTCGAGCACGAACCTGGTGGCCTGGCAAATACTGCCACGCTCACACTTAAGCACCTACGTGTCCCAGGCACTGTGCTAGTCCCATTCGTACTTGTCAATTAATAAGCTACCAGCTCACAGTGCAACTTTCCCCGTAGGAAATCTTTGAAGATGCTCTTTTCCCCCATGAATTCGCACATCCAAAGGTGTTAAATACAAGGACGATGGAGGCAAACAGCTGGACAACTCCAGGTTTATTTGCAGCCGCCAAGAAAAATGCTTCTTCCGAAGGCCACATCCTTGCGGGAGGGCGTGGGGAATGCCCCGGCCCAGGCTCAGGGGTCGAGGCTGCCGCGCCGGCCAAGCCTTGAGTTTACTTACTCAAGAGCCTTAACCAGCTTCCACTGGGCTAGCACTCTGGCCCCAGCCTGCCCGGCTCACTGGGCAGTGCCTATCTTCCCCACAGCCCGGTGCCTCTGCTTCTCCAGGAACCCGGAGAGCGCACTGGTCCCTATAGCAATAAAAATGGTAAGCCAAGCGTGTGTTAGCCGGGCTCTGTTCTCAGCGCGTTAACCAACCCATTGAAACTCAACTATTATAGGCCCCATTTACAAATGAGGAAACGGAGGTTAAAGCACTTGCCCAACATCAAGATTTGAACCCAGAAAGTCAAGTCGGGTTTCAGAAGCCCCGCTGGAAAGGTTCCCTACTTTCAAAATCTCCAAGAACTTCGGGGCATCTAACCCTGCGACCCTCCCGCATTGCTTCCCCCCACCCACAAGGCAGGCTTGTTGCGGCTTGGGGTTGGGTTGGCCCACCCGGGGCAGACAGGCACAGAGGGACGCCCGCGGGATCCACGCACGAAGCTCCTGTGCTCTTCGCGGCCAGCGCCTCACTCACCGT